CCTGCCGCACGTACCATCAGTCAGGGATTTGACTTTGGAAAGATCTTGATACAAGAGATCTTTGACAGCGAGGTGAGGCAGGTGAGGCGTTGCAGCGTTGTAGAAACGGAGTGCGGGCCTTTGCATCCACTGCGTACTTGCGGATGGGTCCGGTTCGTCTGCTGGCGTCTATTCAGTTCGTCCTTCAAGCAATCACTTCGGCCTCTGCAGTTGGCTCTCCTTTTAGAGAAATCGCATCGGCCACCGTGTCATGGAGTGGGCCACCCCCTTCTGACACGTGGAGGGTGAGGTGAAGGGTCTGACACCGACCCGTAACAATTTTTAACACCATCGAGCAGTGAAACAAAATTAACTCATAACTAACTAATAACGTTTAATTAGATCGGAAAATTAATCAAATTAAAAGCTAAAAATTAGTTGCTTTTTCTTTTACATAACTGTACTAATCTGATAAGAATTAGCCCTTGTTTGACATCCTTAAAATTTAAAAAATATTGTTTGAATAATATTTTTTTGAAGAATATGTGGTTAAAAAGTAAGAAAAATTTTGAATTTACTGTAGAATATATGTTAAAAATAAGTATAAAAAATAAATTATATTAAAGTGAAGATGTGAAACGGGACCTAACAGTATATCTAATTGTAGAGTTGAGTTGGCAAAGCAGATTTGTTCAAATCAGTCTACTGTTGACTTTGACTGCAGTGAATAACCTCCACACCTTCAACAATTTAAACAATGAATGTCGATGATTCGAGCCGAAATTCGAAGTTCGAACTCGGCTCGAATAAAAATAGTTTGGACTTTTTTCCTATAGGCAGTAGTAGCTGCTTGCAATACAGGCAGCTACACGTAGCTACCGAAGTTTTAATTTTTAATTTTTATTTTTTTATAAATTTGTTCACGAACTGGCTCGGGTTCGAGTCATCGCTCAACAATGGGACTTGGTCCGAGCCTCGACTCGATTCTACTAAGCTATGAGTCGGGCCGACTTGGGCTTTTCTCGGATTGAGCCACGCGCCGCTCGAGCAGACGAGCCATATTGACACTTTTAATTCCTACTATTTTGATACAACCCTTTTTTATCCGTTTTCTAAAAATTCATTTTTTTTCTCAAATTCATTTTTAATCACACATTCACATAATAAAAAAATTTATACGAAAATCCAATTTTTTTTTTTCTACATTTTAACTACACGTTCTAAAAAAATCATTATTTCGAAACTCAATTTTTCAAAAAAGAACTCTCTTTAATATTTGTCAAACATAGACTAAATTCAGTGTTATATATATAATTGTTCATATAAATATGGAAAAACGCTTTTTATAAGGAAAACTATCGGTCGTCATTTTACGTGGTACACTGGTATACATGTGGTAGTTTATTATTTGATACATGAAACAATAAATCTACCACATTAATGTATCAAATAACAAATAACACATGTACCACATAAAGCAACTATCGATAATTTTTGCTATGGGATAAAAGTAATAGAAAATCTAGACAAAATATTGTAGAAATCAGATCTCTCAATTTTAATGTTAATAATTTTATTAATTTCTTACTAAACTTAACGTCTCAATCTCCAAAATTTACATAGTAGATGTTAAAAAATGAACGATAATCTGATACATGTTATATTTTTAGATAAACATGCAGTCCAATCATGTCGTGGCTATAATATTTGAGAATAAATTGTGTTTAAAAATTGAGAATTCAGCCGATTGTGCATACTATATTCATCCATAATTCAACAATTTGCAACCATGACTTTATTAAGTTGCATATTTAGCTTGTTTGGTAGGGATTAAATTTATATTTTAATTTTTGAGTGAAAGCTACATATTTTATGGAATTCATAATTTTTTAACCACTCATTTTATAAATTTTTATCAAAATCCACTAAAAACTTTTAGCTAATAGAGTGACTAATTTATTGAAATAAATTGAAGACCGAGATTTGACAAATTTAAGGTAAGTAACCTAATTGTGACAAAAATGAAACTGAATCCTTTTTTTAATAACTTAACATAAACCCCATCTAAACAGCTGCTTATGAAAGCAAAATGAAATTAACTCACATGGGACAATTAATATTTATAGTTGTACGACAATAAATAAATAAATATATACATATATATATATATTGAAAAAAAGTGTATCGCAATAATACAAAGTCTATAACGTATAGTATTATGGTATGGTCGAAGACTAGTCTGAAGAGCTATTGCCTTTACGGAATGCCGAGCACTGATAAGAAGGCCTCGAAAGTTGCTCACCCGTGCTCGCAGGACACGCGGCCAACCCTATAGGTGGTACCATACAATTATACGATAAACATATGGAAATCGAATCTGTCAATGTCCCATCGGGAAACCCTGTAAAGTAATTATGTTGTAAGTACAGCGTTTTGATGCTACCCGTATTTATGTATTCCTTGGGAACTGTCCCCGTCAAAAGATTGTTGTTGAGAAATAAAGTCTCGACTCCAATTAGAGCTGTAGTCAAGTTGCCCGTCAGGAAGTTGTGACTCAGATCGACTATGGAACCCGACCCGTAAGTTGTTGGGGAAGCTTGTGGGACCCCTCCTGACAAATTGTTCCGTTGGAGTAGCATTGAATTGAGTGTGGGACGAAAGAGTGAAGTGGGGATGGACCCACTCAGTTGGTTCATGCTTAAGTCGAGGTACACTAAATCCGAAAGTAATTCCAGGCCGTTGAGCGGGCCCCACAAGTGATTCTGCGCCACCGACAGGTAGTGGAGCGCCGACGGGAGCTGCCGTGGGAGCATTCCCGAAATGCCATTGCTACTCAAATCCAAGTGCAGTAGCTGATCGGGAAATGCACCGGGAAGCAACCCCGACAGCCTATTAGAGCCCAGTACGAGGACTTTCAACTGAGTTAAACCAGAAATCGTTGCTGGGATTGGCCCTGAAAGCTGATTGTGACTTAAATCGAGCGTGTGGAGATTGGCTAGATTGAAAATGGTGGCCGGGATTGCTCCATTTAATCGATTATTCGTCAAAGCGATGACTCTCAGATTCTTGAGGGAGCCAATCTGTGCAGGGATCGACCCGGTGACAATGCCGGAGAAGAGAATGAGTTGGTTCAGCTCAGTCAGTTTAGCTATAGACGGCGAGAGTGTTCCGGCGAGTCCAGGTGAATCGGTGAGGCCGGTGCCAAGAGCAAGTACGACGACTTTTCCGCTAGACGAGCAGGTGACACCGAGAAAGGACGAACATGGGTCGGGAGATGTGAAATTCCAGCTTGAGAGGAAGTGTTGAGTCGAAGTAATAGAGGGAATGTCTGTGAGTTGATTCTTGATTTCACGTAATGCATTTAGATCTATGGGACTGATTTTGTTTTGTGATAATGAATTTGTGGGTTGAGTGGAAAGATTGTAGAGAACAAGTAGAAGAAACAAATAAAAGCACTTTTTGGCCATGCTAAATTTGAGTGAAAGCAAGTAAAAGGGAGTTTGCTTTAGAATATGGTGATGGTGAGATTTGAACAAGGGAGAGTGAGATTGCAGAAACCGTCAGTGGGGTATAAGGGCAGGCTTTTAGAAAAATGTTTATTGCAGTTGGGGTACTTCAACATTTGTCAAAACTACAAATGGGTTTGTAACTTTCAAATCTTGGCAGCACCATCCTCAAAAATTTCTTAAATGTAAGAATGTAGATCCAATTTTGATGGATGCAGTCTAATTTGAAGTTAAATTTGCATTTGTAAGGCACATGTTCAGAATTTTACATTCAACGATTCGATATGGTTTCAAACCGCAATTTAAAATCGCTTCAATCATAGGATCAAATTGACGATTTCGAGAATGCGATTTCGAAAGTGTTGGTAAATTATTATATTACCGTGCAATAACTTGGGCAGAATATTGACTTGCAAAAATGAACGAAATAAATCGATAATGGTTGAGGCAAGAGTTCGATTCTTTCTTCTTAAGATGATAATACCCCGTACTGGTGCGACGACATTCCAATCTTGTCTCCCAAGATATAACGAGATCGAGTTATAATAGTAATATTTCAAACTGCAAGACCTGACGAACCTACTCATTTTTTTATCTCTAAAATTGGAGGACTAAAATGCACGAAAATAACTTTCGAAACCGAAATACAAAATATAGAATAATGCAAGGATGAATGAATATAATTTTCAAGAGAGCAAAATCAGAATTGATTTTGGAATGAATAAATTTGGGGGTACGGGGACCTTTATATAGAAGTTGAAAAGTTGTATTTAAAAAACACAACAGCCGAAAGTTGTGTCTTCAACAGACACATGGACATGCAGTTTAGCTGTCAACCGTCAGTTTCTAGAAGAAGCCACGTGTCGCGTACAGAAAATTCGAGGAAAATAAATAATATAAATAAATATATTATATTTTAAATTAAATAAAAATAATATAATTCAAATAATATTTTACCAAAAAATATATACCAATTTGGCCCAAGCCCAAGACCACGACCCGTGCTATGCCGGCTAATCAGACGACAACGGTAGCACGCGCATGTGGGCTTTGGCTCAACCTACTAGCTTGTAGATTCTCTCTCCTTCAAAGACTATTGATACCCCTTGGAGCCCAAACTCAAGTCCCAAACTTAAGCAATATAAAGTTGTTTCATTCTTCTAGTTTTCTTATGTGGGATTGTCATTTTTCAAATTCCCACCAATTTTTATTACCAATTTATTTCAACTTCAAGTGGTCATCTTTTGGCTTTAATTTCTCATTCACCCTAAATTGATTTTGAGAAAATAAATACATTACATTAATCTACTCATGGAGTAGAACACATTCGACAAAAGAAATCTTTTGTCCAACTAATGGGATTCACTAAAATAATTGGTCAAAAGTTGGTCAAACCGATTAATTAAACCAATTTTTTTTCCACCAACCCCCACATGAATGTAATTTATTGCAATATACTATGCATACCCTATAGAGAGATCAGACGGAATATTATTGCATCCGAATGGGTACTTTATGGGTTTGAACCTTCCGTTGTATAATACTATCGATTTACTTAGCTAATCAGTGAACACGGTGTCTTGAACTATCAGCTCTTGGTGTAAACAAAGACAATAGTATCAACACAATAA